AGTCTCGAAACCGTTCTGTTATTGTTAATTATAAGAAATCTCGAGAATCAAAATTAATGTTTTAAAAAAAAAAAAATCATAACCAACGGGGGGGGGGTGAAAATGTAATAGCACCAAAAAAATTGAAAGCAACTCTGATTCTACTAAGCTTGGTTGAAGGACGTGTTTAAGGAGTTCCTATATAAATCTGCGGTTATATCTTTCAGAAAGCATCGTTTAGCAACATCTCTTTCTAAGTACTTTTGGATCTGAGAAGATTTTTTTACTTGCATTTCAATATTTAAAAAGTTTCAAATAACCCAAAGTTTCATGATGACGTGGTCGAAGGCGATTGATGCCAATTCTGGATATGTAGAAGGATTTGATCGCGTCAAAATCAACATCTGAGAACCTCAGTTCAAATTTAGACATCTAAAATAAATACGTAACTATGTCGACTATGAATCAGGCTTTAGCAGTACGTATATAATCTAAGACCAGTAAGTATATGGACTGCAATATATAAATATGATTTCAATTATATAACAGTTGTAATAAGTGTCTTCCTCACTGGCGTCAGCATGCAGTGTTCAAGACCTGCATAAAAAGAAAACACTGTCTTGAATTCAGATTTGTCATAAATTTTCAAGGTAGATAGATCCTTTATTGGGTGATTGATGCGGAATATTTTTTCTGCTACCTCATTTAACCTTGTGCCAAACACGAGTGATTGTTGAAGTTCTAGGCACGACCAACCAAACACCTCAAATTGCTACAAAACCAAAACATTAATCTGAAAACTCGAATCATGTTCTTAAATAACTTCGTCAGGTCGAGTCTTTCATATGGATGTCATGTATGGCGACAAACCTGTTCAGAAATGTCGAAGCTATCAGCTAGTTACAACCGCTTTTAAGATGAATGGTTAAATTGGCTTTGAACGAGTGAAACCTATTGCTCATGGCGAAGATAATCCTTCTTCGAACCTTGTTGATGGCGCTATAAAATCACAAAGAAAGAACTATACCAGATAGTATAAATCTCATCACTTGTTTACTCTCAATAGCAGTCACAATTTAAATGGATAGCACAAGTAATTCGAAGAGAAACTGACATATTACTTTCTGTTTTATTTGGGTCAGTTTCACTGGCGTTCAGTAACTACAAAACTTCGTCAACCTATGTTAATTTTGGTCATTTCAATACAGTTTTGTTTGCTGTTTTTAGTTTGTTGCTTTTTTTCGTTTACGAGTTCTCTTTGTGTTGCTTTTTCATTTCTTATTTATTTTTACTAACGTTTCTAACCTCGACTTATGGCCATATCATGTTGGAACACCGGTTCCCGTACGATAATCGAAGTTGAGTAACGTCGAGTCTGCCTAGTTACCTAGATGGGTGACTAATCGGCAATACCAGAGACTGTAAGTGTGTATGTGCAGGTGGTGTAATGGCTTGGAATTGTTAATCGAAGAGCTGAGTTTCGATTTCAGTTGGGTTCGTTATATTCAGTTATGCTCCAATAGCCCTGGGAAACGTATGAATCCACCTCTTTTCTCCCCAGTTATTGGTTAATTAGTAAAACTTGTATCACTAATCGATTATTACCAAAGACAAAAAAATTCTTACAATCTAAAAAATGTTTTCTGGTTTTAAATAACCTGCAAATGTTTGGTAAGTCGTAAAAAATGAATCAACTTTTTTCAATCTCTTAGGGAGGACCATCTTTCTTTTAAATCTCGTAACACTAAGAATTTTGCCAATTAACAGAAGCCATATCAGATGAGGACCTCCAACAATGGCAACAACTAAAATCGAATGAACTCCAACAGAATAATGGCATATTCACAATGTGATTTTCCTCACTCCTCGCAACAAAAAGTTAGGAAGGAAATTTCCAATGTGAAAAGATTTAAACTTCAGAAATCTATTTTCCTGCAAAATTGTTTTAATAGAAAGATTCATAAATTTTAATCGATAGTAGCACTGGCTTTTACATCAATGAATGCCGAATGTTTCCGTATAAGGAAACATTTAATTTGCAAGGTTTGTCAAGACCGTTCCAAGCACGCCAATGACGGTCTCAGTTGTCCCCTTATATAAAAGTTTATATAGTAAGGTTCAGCTATTATTCAGCGTTTCGTCCCCACCACCAACCTCCTTTTCGTTTCAGTCTGTGATCCGTTTGATAAGCGACGTGCACAGTTGTGGTGTAATTAATAACGGCTTGAAGTTCGAACTTGGAGAGCCGAGTTCGAATTCCAGTCTAGTTCATTAGATTCACTTACGCACAAATATCATTGGGAAAGGTATGAATCCATCTTCTCTCTCCAGCTATAGGATGAATAGAAGGACAGACTGACTTCTTTAAACTTGGTTAGCAACCACTCTAGAAACTTGAAAGAAATGGCAACCTACTGCGGAAAAATTCTGCTTCGTCAACGAAAGATACATGATCACCAAAGTATGTATCACGTATGGCACTTAACCGACCGATCCTGCATTTAAATTTTAAAATCCCGTTGAATTTTATTTCTATTCTTTTGAAAAAAAATTCATAATGGGTCACCGTTGCTAACCTGCCATGTCTGTTTTACAATTTTTATAATAATAATTTGCAGCACTCGCTTATAGAAAGTTTCTTCTGTCACTTCAATAGCAACGTTCCCTGTTCTGCTGTCATATCTTAGTCTTAAGTGTTTTTGTTCGCATATTAACGTTTTGTGTTACTACTCATTTAATCACCTCTGCGCAAATGACATTTCCTCTTTAACGTCTTCAGAGAATTGTTCTCAGTTTTCTAATCAGTGCGTCCGTTTTTTTTCAATTCTACTGCAAGAAGAAAAGTTTTGTCTGAGAAAAAAAATAACTAAACTTGAGACGCCAAAATGGGTGAGAAAATGCCAACACTATGGAGATATGAATAGAAAAACGAATGGAAGTACAGACAACATGGAATTGAGCATATTATCAACAACAGCAGTTTTAGCTGCTTTTATTAAGAGCAGGTTTTCTTCTTTGTATTTTCAATATTTTCGTACATGTTGAACTAATAGAATGCATTTTTTTAATCAGTACTAGAATTAGAATCCCGTAATGTTAATATTTCGTAATGTTCACACTTCCAAGAACTGTAAGCATTTACAGCATAATGATTTCCTTACAAGACAGAATGGCTTCAGCTCACCTGCATAGTAAGTACAACTATTAGAATGCTCTGCACGCTTCTCGTCAACGTTTCAGGTATTTGATATATCAAGTGTTCTAGTATCTCTCGAAGGCTTAGCAGATTTAATGAAATAGCAACACACATCGAGGAACGAGAGATAAAGCCCAGAAAAAAATATACGAAAAGAACTAAAGCTTCAAAATATGTGCAAGCATCTACGATATTTGGGGAACGCCTACAGTCGAACAATTTTAAGCAAATTCGTTTCGCTGTGTCGTGAATTCAAACCTCTTTTAAGCCTGTGCCAAATTATGCTAAATTTGAATATTCAAGATTTTCATAGATTGACTTTTGTTTTACGGCTTATCAACCCATTGCAGGTTATTTAAAAAAAGAAACTATTTTTACAGTGTAATAATTTTTTTTTAGACATAATGATTTACTGATACAAGTTCAATTAATTAACACATAGTTAGGGGAACAAGAGCTGGATTCATACTATTCCCCGAATGGTATTTGCACGTAAGTGAATATAAAGAACTCATCTTGAATTAGAATTTGGGTCTGCGATTTCAAATTCCGATACGTTATCCATTACGCCCCAAGTGGTCACCCTTATAGGTACTGACCAGGTTCGACTTCAAGGTTCTTACTGTTTTTGATCCCCATTGTCACATGCTTAGCTCTCAAGTTCGAGCCAATGATGTTTTACATTAATCTTTCAGACTAATAAGTTTTATAGTAATTTGCCAAGCTTAGGTGTGGCACAAGGTCGAAAGTATGGGGCACTCAGTGAGGATCGAACTCACTAATAATTGTTTTAGCGAGAAAACCTTGATAACCATTACACCGCCTTGAGATGCCCAAATAGTGATTTTATAAGCGTAGCTTAGCCCGTGCGCAAATGATTTTCTAATCACAGCTTAGATATGGCACAAGGCCGAAAGCATGGAGCACCCAGTGAGGATTGAATTGACTATTTAGTTGTAATGGTTCTCATTACACAACGTCGAGGTGCACAATAATAAGTCTTATTAGTATCGATTAGTAATCGTTAGTAAAAAAATATATATATTTATTCATGTATAGTTTTTAAACATTTCACACTAAGCAAGGCAATAAAGCCACTAAAATGCAAGAGGTTACTTAGTGTGAAAGAATATGGGGAAAATAATAGGAACTAAAAAAACAGCAGATAACGATTAACATCTCATTTAAATCTTTGAAGATCAAATTTTACTGGAAAAAAAGAAGCCAGAAGAGAATTCCACAAGTGAGAAGTGCGAGAGAAGAAACTGTTAACATAGAACTTACGGTTACATCTCGCCATTTCAACTGTAAAACGACGAGACTTTGCCGCCAGTCTAGTAGTATACTTGAATTCATAAAGTCTATTTCCCATAGAATAAATCTCATCTGAACAATTACCATGAAAATATTTATAGAAAAGACACCCGGAAGCTACGCTATACCAGGTCAGGACCAATAACATTGCAGATTCTTTGTATTTTATTAAGAATCTCTAAATACATAGATCAGATGTAATAACATTCAATGCATGGACAAATAGTGAACTTATAAATGTTTTGGCGTAATAGCCTTTCTACTCCTAACTTTCTCCTCCTCAACCTCGCTACCATGCTATGCTAAACTCGGAAAATATTGAGATTCTGTCTGCTTTAGAATTCAGCATTTAAAATCCTTATCTAATCTTGAAAACCAACTGTCAGTGGAAGGGAACTTCCTACCAAGCAAATTCTCACCTGCTTCTACATAAAATATGGCACGAGGCCAAATGTTGGGGGAGGGCTGGTATTCATCTGCCCTATAATTAAACTTAGCTAGTCACAATTGCTTACGGCCATAACACGTTCAGACACCGGTTCTCGTCTGATCACCGAAGTTAAGTAACGTCGAGCCTGGTCAGTAACTAAATGGGTGACTGCTTGTGCGGGGGCTTTAATGGATAACGGATCGGAAGGTGAGATCGGATTAGAACTCCAGTCTAATCGTTACATTCACTTTACTTGTAAATACCCTTGGGTAATTTATGAATTCCTTCTCCCAGCTATGGGTTAAATAGCAGGACAGACTTGATCCGATAGCAATAATTGACCGCAGAATGTGATAGTCGCCTGCGGCGGAAATTTTACTTTTTCGCAAAAACATCACATTCTTACTTACCATTCTTACCATACAAAAGTAAATAAAAATAGTTTTAGTAGTAGAAGCGCCCCGCCTCCCAGTCGTATGTGTAGCAGACACAACAGCTTACCAGGAGAAATAATGCAGGACTGGATAATAATTAAATCAGTCACCCTAACAAGCACTCCGTCTTGGGTAAGACGATAAACTACATCCGCGTCCTGGGTAAGACGATAAACTACGTCCAGCAGCAAGGCTTTTGATCAGGAGGTTTTGAGGAGCATGGAACCACCTCTTATTTGCTGGTGTTCCCAGGTCCACCCTGTTAGGGTCCCAGCTATGGGCAAATAGTTAACTATTACCAGCAATACTTTTTGGAAAAATGTTTTATCAGCAATACAATTTTGAAGGGAAAATATTACCAGAAACAGATTTTTAACAAAACAAAATATTACCAGCAATAAAAAATTTTATCGGCATTAAATAACCGACTGAGGTTAATATGCCGTAAAACAAAATAAACCAAATCAAACCTAACAATTACTGACGTGATCACGCCCTCATTCAGACACAAGAACAAATGCGATACTCACAACCGAAATTATAAAAGACGTCCCGCACTCACTAAAGAACTAAATTTTCTGTCACCTAACAGAATTAAAAAAATAAAATAAAGAACAAGTGGACAGTGAGATTCAGTAAAATCGTTCAATGTCGAGGTTCGATCCTCCTCCAAATGAGACTAAATTTATTTAAGTGCGTTGAGAATAGCGTTATTAGTATATTTTATCAGCCAGTCATAGTTTACCGGTTATTTAGTGTTAGGAAGAATAATGCGTTATAGCCTTTACCAGTAGTATACCGAGTACTAATATTAGCATTAGCGTAGCCATTGATACACTAACATTGAATACGAATAAAGACGAGATATGCAACCATAACAAAAAAAAAAAAACATTTAATAAGGCAAGCAATTTATATACATGTATTAAAAAGATTTACATATGTCCCAAAGCAAATGATTGTTCATATTATCCAAGGGACGAGGATGTTTACAGAACGAGAACAAAGAAATAACATAACCAACTTTATGGCCTTTGATCGTCCGTAGATAAATGAATAGAAATTACTTTTTTTCTCCACGCTAGGCTGTGCACATGTTGATCAGTTTCAACCTGTGTGGACGCCCTGGTGGTTTGGTAGATAAAGAGACCGTTCATAAATAAAAAAAAAACAACAAAAAAAACCGGAAGCCAAAAAGAAAAAAGGGACAGAAGAGTTCTCTTCTCTAAGGGGCCGAACTTCCATAAACTCAACCCAAGGGAAAACAACTGTGATCTCCCTACAGCATGATGGTTAGCAGATAACCGGATAAGCGTAGTAAATATAAAGACTTGGAGAGTTAGTTGCGTATTTGCTCGTGGTGCCAGTGATTTGTGTTCAAGCCAAAATCAAAAGCAAGAATTTCGAATCTTGATTTTTCAAGTCTTCTCTTGGGAGATTGATGCCACATTGTTTTTCTATTCTTCATTTTCTCCAAGTTGAATTTTCTGTAATAAACTAAATAAACTACTATATCACGTAATCTATTGTGTTTTTTACGGATTAGTGGAAGCATCGGCTTTGAACGTGACTTTATTATCAGTATCCGATAAAAATATTGATTATCAAGTTTTAAATACGAGGAACCCAGTTTCACTCGTTACAAATTTTCGCAATTAAAAGTTGAAATTCGCTATAAACGACACATTGTCGAAACTAATTCTAGACAGTCTCCTTCCATTCTACCTTAGTTAATTCCTAATTTATGGTGTTGAAATACACAATTTCTATCCGAAAACCCCAATATTTCAAATTAAGCAAATATTATAAACTAAATTTTATATTATATACTAGCTGAATTACTCGCGCCTTGCTGCGTGTAACGTATTTTTTGCAAGGAAATGATGATTGATTTTAAATCATTGTTATAATTTGTGGCAAAAAATGATGATTTTCATTACTCAATGATTTTGCCGATGAGACCACCATCTGGCTTTTTTCTATATTTTGGGTAGGAGTTTAAATTTAAATTTAATTTAAATCAAAGGGGAAAAAATTTCAGTGAAGGTTTTTTTTTATCAAAATGAAATATATTTATCCAAGTACTTTGAGTAATGTAGTTTCAGAATGTATGGCAGTTGGTGGGGGGGGTCTATCTCCAAAACCCTGCGAGAAGTTCGATAACAAACACAGACAGAGGCTACAACTATATATATATATATATATATATGATGTCATCATCCACAGACGGACTGTTTCTTTGTATCACAGCTCATCAGAGTGTTTAGACATCCAATCGCTTCAGGCTGGGAGCGAAACCAGACCGATTTGGTATCAGTCGGAAATTCTAACCCTAGGCCATCGACGCCTTGCAGAGAGGCGAATTTTTGTTTATTTTTTCATAAGCACAAAAGTCACTCAGAATTCCAACGGTGGGAGAGTTTTGATTATATATATATATATATATATAATATATTGGAAATTTTACCGTTATCGTTTGTTTAATACCAATTATATAGTAAAAACCATGACTTGAATAAGATATTCTGAGAATGCGTGCCAAAGGAGGTGTTTGGAACCTTCTCTTTCAAAAATCTGGATAAATGATCAAACATCAGAATTTGGAGGGAATCTCTTCTTGGTCGGGGCAAGAAGATTTTAGTACACCCCCTGTAAATACATAGAACATTTTATTTGTTCTATTTTCAGCTTGCATTCTCAAAGAAATCTTAAACAAGCCTACTGAAGTTAGATATTTATATCTGTTTTTCTTGACAGATCACCAGACTATGGCAGCTTTGGTCTAAGTTGTTGAATGAGTTTCTTTTTTGTATTTAAAGATTTGTCTGGAAATAACATTAACCCATCATAAAAATGAGTACCAAATATTTGACTTGCAAAATATCCTCTGAAGATAAATTAATTTCATTTGGAAAAAAAGAAAAACTTTATACGCAAGCTACACAATAGATGAACATTTATATTTCATCTGGCACATCGACAGCGCCATGGAACGTTTACTCACTTAGGCGCGAATATCAATGGGAAACTTATGTATCCACCTTCACCCAGTTCTAGTTTAATTAGTTAAACTTGTATTACTAAACCACTAATATCTATTTTACAATCTAAAAATATTTTCTGACGTTAAATAACCGACAAGGTGTTGATAAGCCGTAGAAAGCGAATCGCTCAATTCTCTCTAAAGTTTTCTCATTCTCTTTCACTCCCAGTAACGCCTTGTGCCTAAGTGACTTTATCGCCTTGTGCCTAAGTGACTTTATCGCCTTGTGCCTAAGTGACTTTATCGCCTTGTGCCTAAGTGACTTTATCGCCTTGTGCCTAAGTGACTTTATCGCCTTGTGCCTAAGTGACTTTATCGCCTTGTGCCTAAGTGACTTTATCGCCTTGTGCCTAAGTGACTTTATCGCCTTGTGCCTAAGTGACTTTATCGCCTTGTGCCTAAGTGACTTTATCGCCTTGCTTGGATGAAATGATTGAAAACGACACTTGGTTACTATCAGATTTGTAACAATTCACTTGTATTGTGGACATATATACATTTGTGTTTGCATAATGAATTTATCATTGTCAGCCGGGCTTAGAATAGACCGCCTGTATCTCCTGTCGAGGGATAAGACCCCCCATCAGAGGGACAGCTACCAAGTAAAATCATAGACTTGAACATAAAATACTTACCTATCCCCGAACCAAGTAAATGATTATCAACTCAGCTATAAATTACTAATATTTTACTATCACTGGAATAAGTAAATACTTATTTTTTTAGTAAGGTCACCCTGTACAAGGCTCGGGGCCACACAAAATAGAGGGTTACGACAGTAGGTAGCTTATGTGGATAGGAGAAGAAGATATGTTGACTCTAGACTTGAACAGGTTAAGATTGTAGTGATCGGGGAGGCATCCTCTTGGGAGTCTGTCCCACAGGGCATTGGTTTGCGGGAAGAAGCTATTTGAGTCAAACTTCTCGCCGATTGAACACGGAGTGGTTGAAGGGTGGAAAATAATTCTTCTCCCACGAGAAGCTTTTGAACTCGCTTTTGTGATCAAGACTGGAAAGTGAGGTCTGGGCAGCTCCTGCAAAAATATGGCAACGGTACTCCATTTTCGGCTTGATCTGGCTCTTATAAAGTTAGAGGGTAGCATGAGGGGTCAGGTACTTACTGGAGCGGTACAGGGAGATAATCATTTTTATCTGCACCTTTAACGAGGGACCATATATAAGAGTTCCAATTGAGGTCGGGTGTGAGTTTGAGGCTAAATATCCTCTCGAGGCGAGGGGGCCTCCTCGAGGGGGACATCCGTTTATCGTGACTGGCGGTTGTTCGGGGCCTAACCGGCATTGATTGAATGTAACCAGTTTGTTATTCGCCACTTGAAAGTTAGTGTTAGATTAAAAGAAAAGGTCATCCGCCAATTTCCGATTGTTGAGACTTTTAGAGCTGCGCCCTTATATCTTCGTATCATCGGCATAGACGTTTACAAATGATCGGAGTATATTCTAAGGTAGATCATTTATGTAAATCATAAAGGGGGGTGGTCCAATAAGTGACCCCTGGGGGACGTCTGCATTGACCACCAGGGTCTCCGAGGACTGGCCGTTAATAACTACCTTCAGTGATCTACCTGTTGGGAAAGATTTTATAATAGTGAAAACTCTTATAGGCACAATTGTTGTAGTAGTAATGAATAAGATCAATAATAATAATAAGATTAATAATAATAATAATAATAAGATTAAT